ACGCTTGTGATGTTTGTGGCTACTTTGTCGATCTGCAGCAGCTGTGGCACAGAATCTGCTCCGCTTTAGCCTACCCCCTAAATTAGAAATTGTTTATGTTCTCACATGAAATCCAGCTCACTTGATATCAATCTCATCTCAAAAAGCTTTTATTATCATAAAATGTAATAGTAAATCATTGATACTAGCGCCCCTCGTTTGCATGACATGATTAACCAAAGTTGTACAGACATAATGAATTATCAAGCAATCTCAGAAAAAATTTAACGCACTAAAAGAGAAAATGCTCGAATCAATTAAGCAAGTTCAACACTCACGACAAGAAAGCCTAAGAAATCTATTAATCGAAATAGAGAAAAAAGCAAAACTCACTCCAAGAAAAAAGAGTTAGTTAATAATAATTCGCTTTTTTTGTATATAAATAATAATCGGGAAAAGACTCGCAAATATATGATTCCGTAGTGATTTACCTAAGGAAGATTATGAACAGTCTCTGATGTTGACGACGACGATGACGACATCGTTCGAATAGAAGTTAGACAAAGAAAAAGAACTACCAAAAAGAAAAAAAAAAGGAAAATAAGAAAAAAAAGAAAAAGAGAATTTTATGATTCGTAGTCCGGTAATTCTAACATATTTGTCGCAATATCGCTGATTTTTTTGTTGCTTGTTTCGGCAGCGATTTGATTCGTAGACGTTGACGACGTCGTTGATGTGTTGTTTATTTTTCTTTTTTTGCTTGTTGTTGTCGTTGCCGTAGCAATAGTAGTAGTTGTTTGAGGAGTGGGGGATGGCGGAGAGAGCTCAGATAGAGAAATTAATTGTTTGAGCTTCTCTGATTTCGATGTTGGAGATGTAGATGGTGTTTTTGTTGATGTTGTTGGTTGTCCGTACATATATTCCATGTTGTCCAGTTGGACATACAACTGGTTCTCGTCTACACCAAAGTCCCCGGTAACCCATACTTTGCTCCGCGGCAGGAGCTTTGTCGTGCGTGCTAGTAGGTGCGTTTGAGAGGCGTCGTGTGTGCAGAAAATACTGCATTGGTTAAAGGGATTCGTGGCGGTCTTATCGCCTTTGTGTTGCGACGCGGATATTCTGAAGAATATCTGGTTTTTTTGTTGTTGTGGTTTAGTATCGACGATGCCAGCGGCGAGAATGCACGATTTATTGGTCGGAAGGTTTAAGTGATCGTAATTATTAATCTCGAGTCGGTACGCGGTGATAGAGAGTTTATTGTCTTTTATTTCGGTTATTGTTCCGTCGAGATCCACGATGTCGTTTCGGTTTACGGTGTTTATATGAGCGGTTGTTGTGATATTCTTCGGCAGCCATGCAGTGATAGATAGATTAACGTATTGGTCATCGAGGTTTATGGTATATGCTTCTATTAATTGGAGGTCGTGTTCCCCTCGGTTAAGTTTCTTTACGCTGGTTATAAGTGCTGCCGTTGTATGGAAGTGAATGAACATGGTCGATTTGATAGTTGGCCGAAACGGTTGATTTGTTTGATCGTTGCGAAAAATGGGAGGGATGGGAAAGATTATTTTTTAGTTTATATATTTCTTAGTATTGGTGGGAAGTTTTATATTTCCAAAAAAAGGCAAGCGTTTAAGGGGTTAAATCATACGATAATGTTGTATTGTCAGCATTTTTAATATAGTGTTTATTTATTAGTTTATTAATAAATATCAATAAAAAAAAGTAACAATTTAATTAATGACGATGAAATATTAAAAGAAAATAGTGTTTGCTTGTTGATTAAGACGGGAATATTCTTCATTTACAGATGGATCAACACAAAAAGCCCTCCTGTCTAATATAGGAATGTTAACATTTTCCCATGATGTTGCTCGACTTAATGCAACATAAGCTTGTCCCGGTGCGAAGAATTGATTGTCTAAGAATATTGAAGTTTTTTGCAAAGTCAATCCTTGGGCTTTGTGAACGGTTAGCGCAAAGCAATTTTGTAAAGGAAACTGTGTCCGGGATGAGGGTTTTCCATCTGCGTAAAAGTTTACAGTCTTCAACCCTACTTCAGCGTTAATTATTCCGCCCGTGACACTGAATGCTATTTGTGCTCTTTTTGAATCGCAGTTAACTTTGGTAACGATACCGATTGTTCCATTGCATATGCCTTGATTGTACATGTCATTACTAAGGTACATGACGCGGGCACCTGGCTGTAGTCTTACCGAAACAGGCAAGTTTGTGTGAGATTTGAAAAGTGGTTGGGCAGTGTTATCCAACCATAATTCGTTATTAACATAATCGTCAGCTTTATGAAGAAGGTATTGGTTTCCTTCTATTGGTAGCATATTGCATATGGAAATATTAATACGATCGGCTGATTGGCGGTATCCAACAATATGAGTGGTATTTAATTTTGCATGAACTTTATCCGCATCATCTGCAGAGTCTTCACCATTATCTTCATTGTCATCTTCGTTTCCTTCATTTAATGAATTCATGTGGTTTTGTTCAAGTATATTCCAAGATTCATCAGATATGTTTCCTGTTCGTATTTCTTGCAATAAATTGAAAAATATAGGATCGGATATTTGTCGTTGAGATTTAGTAAGAAATAATGGATGAAAAATTTTCCATACAGGAGAATAAAACACGTTTGGTGCATTGACAGGTGGTAATTGTGCCAAGTCACCAATTAACACAACATTGATACCTCCGAAGGGATGGTGATTGTTATTAAGTTTTGCAAATGTGTCAGAAATAAATGAAAGCAATGTAGATGAAACCATAGAGACTTCATCAATTATTATCGTGTCGGTTTGGCGGAGATGGTCAGTTAGGACGTGATCAGTAAAAATAAGAGTTTTGTAGCCGCTCTTTGTTGATATTATACGTAGTTCAGAATGAATGGTTTTGCCATTAATATTTTGGGCAGCAACTCCAGTTGGTGCCATGAGTAGAAATTGTCGCTTTTTTTGTGTCAAGTAATTTGTTAATAAATGGATAATGTATGATTTGCCAGTTCCAGCCGGTCCAGTTACAAAGAAGTAGGGGTATTTTTTGTTTGTAGTAGAACCCATAAATTGGGTGATCGTGTTCATTATTTTATATTGGTCTGATGGTAATCCGGCTGTAAAGACTCTGGGAAGTATTGGCGGAATTTTCATTATGTTTATCAATTGAGAGCGAATGGTTTTATGGTTTTTTTGGGAGAGCTCGTATAACGATTGAAGCATTGTTTCTAGAATTGTTATAAATTGGTCTGTCAGTTCTGTTTTTCTTTTGGTAATAAAGGTTGCAATATTTTGGTGCGCTTGTGAGGCCTGATCGGGAAACAGGTTAAAGTAATGATCGCGATATGTTGAATAGCCGGCTTTAATGTCACTTTCAGAGCGCCATGAACGTGTTTTTAGGAGTAATCGATAAAAATAAGAGTCTCCATCGGATATTCGTAATGCGCGGGTACGAGTCAATATTTTTTTCGTACGTCTTACAACTGTTCTACCTTCAGCGTCGGTGCCAGCATATCTGTTTGACCTTGTTCCAGGTGATTTGAGTTCATACTGCTGATGGTATTGTTCGTAAGTAAGCGTATCAAATTCTGGTGTAACAGGTCTTTGGAAATATTTTTCAATTGAATCTTTATAATAGGGATCGTCCAGATGCATGAGCATTTCTTCGACAGGACGAACAGTTTTTGTTCTAGAGTTTGGTGGTTCTGTTGTTAAATATTTAACAGTGGCTGAAGAATCGCATATTTTTTCTCCGAGCGTAAGAAACATGACTTCCATACAACCTAACCGACGTCCAATTACGTGTTGACGGTAACGATCACCTTCAACTATATTGAAAATGTGTGACGGCTCAACTTTTGCAACATATTTGGTCATATATCGGGCAAATCCTTTTGACGTAATATATTGTGCGTTCATATGTGCGTTCCATGCAATTAGGGTTGGTGGGTGGTACGGTACGACATATCGATCTTCCTCTTTTGTACATTTGTAAATAAAGCGGAGAGATTCGTTATCCGTATAAGTGGTATTTGAATATTGTCTTGGAAATCCTTTGGAGCACTGTTGTCCTTCGGGTGCTGGTCCACCACAACGATGATCACAAGTATGTATTTGATGTGCCTGAACATGTTTAAAGAGTTCGGGTTCGTGATTTGGATCTGGCATGTCAGATCGAATAACGTTGTTCTGAATCATTTGTTCTATGGAATAAGACAAGTGTGGGTGTGCGCAGCACCTCGATTTTGAAATTCAACTCTTTGGAAATAGTCTTGTATTGTGCCCCATTCAGAGAATTTTTCGTTCTTCCAGATGGCTTTTTTCATAGAACGTAGGCGATGGAGAAAATGGGAAGTCACATGATATGGACGATTGGTTGGTAAGGTATCACCATTATCCGTTGCGGAAAAAATGGCTCGTAAATGATCCCATTTTCCCTCAGCCATCGATAAAGTAATGAATAATGTTGGTAAACCGAGTTCAGTTACCATGGTATTTAGGTGGTGTTCTTTTTGGTGATAGTATGTATCGCCTGTTCTAATAAATGTGGGTAAAGGGGTAGTTATGTTTTCGTCTATTATCAAATTTGCTGTGTATGCACTTTGTCGTAAAAGTTGGGCAGCCGTTGGAGGTTGGCAAACATTATCAACATTCTTTTGGCGAAATAAACGGGAGTTATTTTGGAAATTACGAAATTTTTCCAGTTGCAAGTATGACCAAACGGGCCATGTTGGGTGTAAACGAAATCGAGAATCGTAACCCATGAGACGCGATTTTATGTATTTTCCGTAAGTTTGATCGAAATTTTCTGACGTCTCAGACCTTTGTTTTCGGTGTTTGTAATAACCTTGGCCATTTGGGAATAAGTCTGGAAATAACAATGCTTCCAATTCGGGATCGTGAAAAGCAATCGGTATTTTTTTGTCATCTGTATCCGTTAAGAATCCAATTGCTAGACGAGTATAGTGGGCATCTTCATTGTGTGTGTCATCCGGAAAGTCATATGATGGAACTACGACATCACCTCTATGTAGCGGTGGTATATTTATATCAGTTTGCACATGCGTGGCCCAGGGCCAAACACTTATATTAGACGGAAGCGCATTATTTTGTGATAAGAGTTGCTGTGCTACTGAATTGTAGGCTTTAAGGTAAGGATTGTGAATCTGTAACCATTCGCATGCGTCTTTTAGGGAAGGATGATACCATTGTGTATCAGAAGTAGGTAAATCAGTTTGTTCAAGAAAGGCACCAAGCATTCCAGAATACAAAGTTAGAGAGCGCATGTTTTTTGAGTAACCCATTTGACCTTGCAATGAACGATATTCTGAAAAGGCATTTGCATCAACAGTGCGGCCAAGACTTGAATGAAGGTAAACTGGAGATAAATATTTACGCTTTCCGTATGGTACTATTTGTATACATGGAGGAATAGGGGCTAGACTTGGACACGCTTGACGGGACGAAGGCGTTTTACATGACGCGCAGATCGCTACTTTGGTTGAATTATTTGGATGATAGGTTAATGCAGCATCTGGATATGATGTTTCGAGCGGAAAGGTAGTGTTATTGTCTTTCAATATCCAACGAATTTGATACGGGTAGAGCATTCGTCCGCAGTAACAACATGGTGCGCAAGGAAATTGTGTATACGCATCGTAATGTAGTTTGCGCAGAACATTTATGAAAAGATCTTTTGGACGCCAATACGTAAAAGTGGTAGTATCAGCTGATACGAATTGAGAAGTTGGTCTCGAAATTGTAGTATCGGAGGATTGATATGTTGTCTCAGGAAGAAAATCTGAAGAGAGATCTAAGCAATCTTCGTAATCCATTAATTCACCAACTGAGAGAGCATCAATAATTTGGAATGATTGAAATGACATCGTAGTTAAAAAAAAAAAGTAGATGTGCAGCTGTTTGTAAGTCAAAAAAGATCGAGAAATGTATGAATCAAATGTTGTGCGGAATGATGAAGGAACGATGGCTTTATATTCTTGGAGAAGAGTTTAATTATAAATACAATGAAAAAAAATAACAGAAGAAATTATAAATTTATGGCATCGTTTATAATACAATTAATAATATAAACTGATGTAAAGAAAACTCAATTTTCTTCGCAAATCAGGAAATTTTGAAATTATAACTTCTTTGTAACGGAATTATTCATTTTTGGGAAACACGGAACTTTTAAAAAATAATAAAGAAAATCAATTTAAAATGTTCATTGCTTATTAAAAATAGTGTCATTATCATTATCATTGTATTATTAATTATTTAATAAATATTTACGATTACCATCGGTTGTGCGACAAAAAAGATAAGGGGCGAATTTGATTTGCATGTAATTTATAATACGGTTATTATTATCTACGCATTTGTAATAACAACAGAGGCAATTAAATCAAATCCGAGGTATTATTCGTTACTATCACTATACTTTTTGCAGATACGTTCGGTGTTTATCGAACCTTTGGCCTATTACTATACTTCTTGTGGGTGTTTATGTATTACGTCAGAAAGATTGATACATGTGAAAAATCCAAATTCGATGATGGGGAATCCCCTATTGCAATATTTCTATTTTTGGCGGTGATCTCCAAATGATGGTAGGCCTTTCGCAAAAAATTTCGTAAGGATGTAGAAGGAAAGGTAGACATCGTCTACGAAAACGATCTTGAAATAAACTATTTAAGTTACTTTAGAAAGTAAAGTCGTGTGGAAGATGGTACTAGTCTGAACTTGATTCACTGACAAATATAATTGTTATTACGTTTTTATATATTCTGATATTTTCCCCGACGTTTTAGGAGAAAAATAATATTTTCGGAATTAATTTCAAAGTATATAAAGAATCGAACAACAGTGGGAGGTGGGCGGGGGGAAAGATGCCAAGGCAAAGGCCTAGGCAGAGATAAGATATAGACCTAGATGTAGGCGTTGATGTAGATCGAGGAAGAGATCGAGGACTAGGACTAGTACTAGGACTAGGACTAAGTAAGATATATAACCTATACATATAAGATTGCGAGAAGATGATCAGCAAGAAATTAACCATAATTTTGAAATCGAAGTTAGTAAGTTTCCAAAAAAGTTCTAGCAGAGAGGCACGAGGTAAATAATTTGGATAGATGCGGGATCACGGGGCACGGCAAATCTGAAAAGGAGGTTAAAAAAAAATAGACTGGATATGTCCTATTACATGGTCACGTGCTTTTGGATGCAATTCATAAATCATTGAAAGAGTTCCTAATCGAAGTAATGTCGCCCTTATTAATTATACGCTCACTATTAAAATTTATACTCTAATATAATTTCGTTTAGAATGGGTTACTCAAAGATTATTATGATAATGCGTTCTTTTATTTGCTTTAAATGTGAATAAAAACTTAATGTATCCGCCTCCGACATTATCTAACGCCTGAATTATTAGCAAGGTCATGTTAATGCTAAGTTGAGAATATTCATTCCCTCACTCTCAATTTTTAATTATTTAATTGTGTAAAATAAGCAAAATTATCTAAAGACCAATTAACCAATATTCTCTGCTGAAACCCAAGTGGAGGAGGAGAAACTCAAACTCAAATAGAAAACCAAAATGATGATGAGTGAGAAACTGGATAAAATTACGTGTGAGGAAATCGAGGGAGCAGCAAACCGCTCAGTAACCCACTTCCTGGCTTTTTTGATCATCTTATCGATAGCACCAGAATCGTACCCACTCAACTCATTTAACGCTGTCTGCGCTTTCTCATAACACAATTCCCACTCTTCTTTAAAGTTTTTCATTACAATCTCAAGATAAGCCATAGCAATGCAAGTAGACCAGACGGAATCTTGATTTTTGTTTTGGAATAAATTCCTGTCTTTTCCCTGCGAAAAGAATTTCGATAAGTCTGCGGTTGGCTTGAAAAATCCGTCAAAAGATTGAAATCTGATAAACTTATAAAGAGTGTCGATTTCTGCTAATTTTGGATCAAGTGGAGCAAGTGGAGCAAGTGCCATGACTGGTCTAACTATTGTCTTACTAGTATAAGTTATCTTAATCCGTGCTCCGTCTCCAAATTTTTTAATCGGATTAGTAGAGAAGGCCATTAATGCAGGCCTAACTGTCCGGGATGCATTCACGGTTGTGGGGCTAAATGTCGAGGGAGTCGCAGAATTAGCTAATGTAGGACTAACTGTTAAAGGTGCCGCAGGAGGGGCTGTATAACCATAACCAACACGAGTAGACCCAGAACGTCGAGAGCTACTTGGGTATATCGAACAGTCACCTAGAGTCTGCAAAAGAAAAGCATTAGCAAATATCTGCCAAAAATAAAGTTTGCCCTCTTCCTTTACTAACCCTGACTACATAGCGTCTCCTGCTTGTCTGCACGGGAACGACGCGCCTTTGAATTTCAACCGTCGAGAAACTTTGGTCTCTTTCATCGATTGCCAGGAAACTTTGATAGATAGTTGAAGAAATCAATACATATAACCAATTGATTAACAACCTTTTCGTAATTTACACAATTTACCTTGTATATCTTGAGACTAAATTGGCCTCAGTTGCAAATTTAACGATTGCATTTCTTGTATCTTCAGTTGATATTTCTTTTCCCTCATTTTTCGGATCGTTATGCAGGTAACTTTTCTTATCTTCGAGATCCTGTATTAACTTCCTGGCAGCTAGAGTATGAATCTTGTTTCCATCGAGAATAGCTGGATCAACCGGCACAGTGAGTTTTACGGGCCCACTGCGAGATCGCATTGTCATTGTGATGCTCCGTGCAGGTTCAACGTCCGGTTCAAAGAGCGCATACACTACGCAGCGAACGCCTTGATATAATGGTGGAATGACATATGGCGCTTGACGGTACTTTATAGCATCCGAATCACTACTCTCAGTGTCAACCCAGGAAATTTTGTAATCAGTCAGTGGCGGTCGAATAGCGTTCTTGACCATTCCAGCAACTTTTTTGTCCATCCTCTCATCGTCGCTGACGAACTGGGCATATCCTCTTCCGGCTCGAGCAACAGACTCCACTAAATGATGACTGACAGAGCTTCCAATGCCCAACGAAAATAATCTCAAATTGTCTCGGTTTTCCTTCACTTTATTCTCGATCAATTGAACAATGTCATCTACGTTCCAAACTTCGCCGTCGGTCAATAAGAACACGGCAGTCGGAAGTTCTTTGGCCTTGTTCTCCAAAACCCATTTTAAAACTGACAAGAGTTCAGAGTTCAGTACCACCAAAGTTGGCTTCCATTGACTGAGCATGTTGAATGGCAGCGTTGTGGGAAGATTCTGAGTAATGAACAGACCGTTCAAACATGGCGGAGTAAGATGAGCCAAATGAGATCACATTGAAAAAACAGTTTGACGGTAGAGAGCGAAGTATTAGCTCGAGCGTTTGTCGAGCTTTAATCATCGGTGCGCCACGCATTGAACCAGATCTGAACAAATAAAATTCATTATTATTATTATTATTGTATACGTGAGCACGCAACAGAACATGAAACAAGCACATAAACTATTTACCTGTCCACAACGAAAATCATTTCTGTCTGCACCGGCTTAAGTTCAAACGTAGGGACAAGAGTCAACATGGTACAATTTGTATTTGTCTTTGGATCGTACTCTGTGAACGCCCTATAAGATATACATGTATATCAATTCGACAAATATTTGTCGCACTTTCCGCAAACAGCCACAAAGTCCTATCACCGGGTTCCCCGACATTTATCATCCATACCTGGATTGACCCGACTCTTTACTCTTGATAATTAGCACAAAATCTCTTTCCAATTCGGTTCTATCGTCTGCAAGTTTGACTCTGCAAGTTTTTGGAGATCCATTCAAACTAATTTCAGTTTTAATCTTGTGCGTGGGTGACTCAACGCTTAACAAGCTCGCCGTCATACGACATATAATATCGACGTCCAATGTATACTGAGTTTCGTTCGAATATGGCGGGTTACCCACAATCAGTTCCACTATTGCCTGAAACCAGTCCTTCTGTGGCTGGCCATAGCGAGGCGCAACAGCTGTAGGCAGAACAAAGCGAACTTGGTCGGAATCAGCATCCTGTTTCAGTTCCGTCACGTAAGTTATGCGAATCTTCACAATCTGGTTTTGCGTAATGTTTCCAATTGAGCATTGAAAAACATCCGGAAGTTCTTCTTGAAGAAGGTACGCGCCGAGATCACTCTAATTTTTAATTAATCAAAAGTTGAAGAAAAGTCTTATTATATTGAATCAATTTTGCCATTGGTGCCAACCTGAATAGCTTCATCATACTCTTTAGCAGCCTGCTGAGCTTCTTTGACAATACCCTTTACTGTACGATTACCATCGATTTCAGCCTCAAAGCCGCAGATTGCTGCAGCTTCATGAATCGGGAATTTGTAGATTGCTTCGATTGCCGCTAATTCTTCATTCTTGTAAATTTGAGTTACGGTGACTTTGGGAACGGATTGCAAGTATTAGGTACACTGTGTTCTTGCTTGATGTTATTTGATAGAATATTCAAAAAATTATTACCTTCAGCAATCATATCAACGACTACGGAATCAATCATATGTTAGCGACGTTGGAAAATGGTTTCAGTCATTTACTCGTATAATAGTAATTACCATTCGCTTCGACCTTAACATTTTGTAAAGGAACAGGATGTGGAATGTCTGAACCAGGAATGGTATGAGTCAACCCATAAAAAAATGTCATTTAGTCGTATCAAACTTCTCTTCTTTGGAAGAAAATGCAGTTTCACGCAGTTGAAGTTGTTATAATATGTCCCAGAAAAGAATTTCGCAAATAACAGGACGTAGCACAATTGCGCATTGATATTTTTCCTTATATGACTAGATTCTTTCTGACATAATAGTCAAACCCAATTGACGCGCAGCCAAACCGTCAATACGACCTGTAGATACTCTTATACCTGAGGAATCATTAAATTTGTATAATTAGGAATCTACTTAGTCAACAAAATTGTTATCTGTAAATACGATGGGCTAACGTAAGGGTCTTCTCATCGTCGCTTCATTATGGGCCTGTGTGTTTTAATGATTGTGCGAAACATAATCGCATTAGCCTTTATCGCCAACTACCCCCACCATCAAAAATATCCCCGACTCTGTAACTTGTAAATTACAACCCTAAATAATAGATTATCCTGCAGCAATGCCATCAACGGGTTGATGTGGAAAGTCATCCAATAAGAAAAATTCCCGCTTACTCAAACAAACTCTTTTTCGGAAATTTTATTTCTGTACTTACGATACAAGTTAGTAATTTTTTACATTAACATTGCAATCTAATGAAGTGTGCAGCAGATAAGTACATATATAGTCTTTTATTTTTCTATTGTAACTTATACTTGTACAACGATAATAATAATATGTTTTAACGAGGTTCCTCTTTTTTGCGTTGTTGTTATTCTTTGTGCGCGGCGACCTATCAGGAGCCTTGTGAAATTCTGACGTTTTCTGGTTACTGCAGTTACTTATGTAACTATTCCGAATGTTTTTATTATTTTCGTTAACAAGGACGCTCGGTATGCGGTACGTAACGTACAGCTGGGGTACTTGTTATAAGAAGAACAGATATTGTTGCCATTCGTGCAACGTGTGGAGAGCTGTATAAGAAATAAAGTCACATTATTCGTCGTCATCTGATTTAACCGTTGTCTTTTCGGTTGTTAATATACTGTTCTACAGCATAATAAAAACATCAACGTAAAACGCTTTTTGTCAATGCGCATGAATACAAGTCTTCTTATTTTTTAAAAAGTAAAATTACTTGCTTTAAACTTAATGCAAAACCATTACTACTTATATGTAAAAAATTTTATTTTTACTACTTCGATAGGGTCAAATGAGATAAACTCCGGCAAATAATAAATTATTCACTGTATGTATGCAAGCACTTGTGCAATTATAGTCAATAATTCCGACACTTTATGGTCGTACAGCATATTCTGACACGGAATGACCATTCATCAAATCATCGTCAATAATAACTAACACAAATGGACTAATTTGACTAGCGTGTAAAGTGTCGGGAAAAAGTGTCGGAATTATTGACCATAATACACGTGCATATAATAATAATAATAATAATAATAATAATAATAATAATAATAATAATAATAATAATAATAATAATAATAATAATA